TGGCTTCCTGGCCTCTGGCTGCATCCTAATAAAATTTTAAATTGTGCATCTTGAATAATTTTGAAAATACATTTATGAGCAGCATTTCAAAAAAACTAAAAGTACAATCTATTATCTATCACACCACATAAAAGTACATAGTACATAAGATCAGTCAGTTCCATGTTCTTTGAGCAAGATTTTGACAAAAGTAAAAATACAATCTACTACACAACATAAAATTACAAAATATGTAACAGTATCATCGAATGTATTTATTTTCCTGTTTTTCCCTGCCTTCCATCTCCCGTCTCCCGTCTCCTGGTTCTCCTGCCCTCCCATTCTCCAGTTTTTGAGTCTCTAAGTGGTCTTTTTCTCCTTTTTCATAATCTTCTGCCATTCATCTCCCAGTCTCTTTTATCTTATATTTGTTTTCCCCCTGTCTGTAATTGTATTATATGTTGTTCCATTATTTGCTGTATGTATACAAAAAATACTACCATAACAATCACAGTAAGGAAAACACTCAAATCTAATCACATATCTGCCTTGCCCTGCTCAAACACATCATTTTTCATTATTTAATGTCATGTACATATACAGTTACCAACGTCATGCTAAGTTCCCATCAGGTGACGCTGTTTGAGTCGGCGCTCGAAAACACGTGACAAAACCACGCGAGATTTCCAAAAAGAGGTTAAGCGAGCTAAGCGCTCCCATGTGGCCTTTAGCAAAATACAGGAAAGCCATGCGAGCGCCCATGCATTTCCGAAAACCATCGTACTTTACTTCTTAGATATAATGATTCTGAAAGCCACTATCTCCATGTGCATAACCTGTAGAGAAGCTAATCAAAGTAGGGTTTGGGGTTGCAAGCTAGTGCAGGCACTCTGGGTGTCATGACTGACCTGACTGACTTTGGTATACAAAGACTACATATGGTGATCTCAACTATGTATAATAATATACTCAGATTTACACTATATGGCGATTCCATGCAAATATAAGAAGTTTATATTTGCACAAGATGAGGGTACATAAATCCACACAAATATAACATGTACATATTTACACAAGATAAGATTACAAGTGCTCTACACAAATATGACATGTGCATATTTGCGCAAAATGAGATTGCAAGAGTTCCACGCAAATATGACATGTGCATATTTGCGCAAATATGATATGTGCATATTTGTGCAAGATGAGATTGCAAGAGTTCCACACAAATATGCACATGTCATATTTGCGCAAAATGAGATTGCAAAAGTTCCACGCAAATATGACATGTGGATATTTGCGCAAATATGAGGTTGCAAGTGTTCCACACAAATATGACATTTGGATATTTGCGCAAATATGCACATGTCATATTTGTGCAAGATGAGATTGCAAGTGTTCCACACAAATATGACATGTGGATATTTGCGCAAATATGATATGTGGATATTTGCGCAAATATGATATGTGCATATTTGCGCAAATATGCAGATGTCATATTTGTGTGGAACACTTGCAACCTCATTTTGCACAAATATGACATGTGGATATTTGCGCAAATATGCACATATCATATTTGCGCAAATATCCAAATGTCATATTTGTGTGGAACACTTGCAACCTCATTTTGCACAAATATGACATGTGGATATTTGCGCAAATATGCACATATCATATTTGCGCAAATATCCAAATGTCATATTTGTGCAAAATGAGGTTGCAAGTGTTCCACACAAATATGACATCTGCATATTTGCGCAAATATCCACATATCATATTTGCGCAAATATCCAAATGTCATATTTGTGCAAAATGAGATTGCAAGTGTTCCACACAAATATGACATCTGCATATTTGCGCAAATATCCACATGTCATATTTGCGCAAAATGAGGGCCTTTGATATACCATAACGCAAGCTTAACCTAAAGGTAGTTACAAAATTATGGTTAGAATGTGATAGGGACGGAGTGGTAGCGGTATCGGTGCTTTCGCGCGATCTCGTAGGTCGGGAATGGTCCCATGCCGCATCCTGGATGGTCACAGACGTCGTTGTCGGACATTTATATCAGTAAGCAAAGTGTATGCGATGATAAATTGAGAGATGTTGTACTGTATCGTTGGATGACGGATGAATGGTGCTGGAAAGGTTTTATATGATTTCAAACATATGGGCCTGCGCCTGCAAGGATGGAAAAAAAATACCTGAAGGCGTGGCATGGTGAAAAAAACACGATGGACTAATGACAGCATTTACGGAAATATCAAGAACGAAAGAGGAGACGGCGATCTCGACGCACGACGATCGGAGCAAGGATTCTGTTCGAGCACTCATGATATGTGAGGTTAGGCCATAATACGCGGAAAATAAAGGCTGATGGTCACCGGAAATGAGTCCTCTCATTCGAGGTTCATCCACATGAAGAGACGTGCTTGTCTGTATCCAGTTAATACGATTGAAGCGCCACCTAAAAAAAAACTCTTTAATGTCGGAAGGAATGGAGAGTACAAAAATAAGACACAATGTTCGGTAACATTTGCATCATAGTCGCGTGTCCAATCATGTTCTGGATGGAAGGGAGTCGAATGGCAGCCGTGAACATCGGATGAAAATAAATATTGTTCGTGGATATATGCATTGCGCCCAATGGTGGAGTAAAGCTATTTTTGGACAGTTGAATATTTTGCATGGGCTGAGCGCACATTTACTTTCCATTAGTTGCGAATATCTCAGCAGAATGCCTCTGCAAGCAATCACATCTCGCGACTCATTGCATCGATCGCCAGAAAGTCCATACTTGGACAAGTCCTTGGTTCAAACAAAGATTGCCAAATTATATGCATGAGCCGTCGACCCTGCTGAAAATGCTCGAATAGCACATGCTAGTGACTCATCAAGGGCTTCATGGATCAGGAGGTGACCTAGAACGTGCAGGCATCACAGATGTTCTATGCATGCGGACATGTTCTCCCATGAACTGAGATTCTGTGGCGCACAGGTGATAAAAAATGTGTTTAACCTTACATATGTATTTTCGTCGCTCATGCAGGAAGCCAGCATGGTTCACAAGCATGTCGACATGTGATGGAACGTCCCCAACACATGCTAGCTGACACCTGCAGTCATATATGGTCTTTAAAATCAAGGATGGTCCAAAATAAAACGATTGAATAAGAATATGTCGAGGAACTTGATCACACCAGTGCCCAGCTGTTCTTGACATGTGTTGTATGATACCTGGAGCTGACTGAATCGTCAGTGATAGATGCACCAGAATGAAATGATCTCTTTTCATGAATCATATATGATCCATGACTTCAAACCGATTCGCATCAGGACAGTGATGGACAAAAACAGTACAAAAGGCTCTATGATCTAAATATGCAGGTTAAAGTCGATGGTGATGTAAGAAGCATTCACGGCCTCGATCATCTTCTTCAAAGTGCCGATAGCAAGAAGAAGGCAAGTTGTGAAACGATCCTGCTGTCACCCGAGCCATTAAAGCTGCGGGTTTTAATACTAAGATTCATAAATATACAAGTGGAAAGAGTGCCCTCACAGAACGAGCTCGCAAAACAGCTGCTGGGAATTTACATAATCGTCCATCACAAGCAACTCGGACAGGGCGATGCCTGAAAGTCTAAATAAGTAAGGGTGACGGGTTGACGCCTGATTATAAATAGGTGAGAGTGATGGGGTGATGCCTTAAAGTCTAAATCAGCAAGGGTGACGGGATGACGCATCCAGAAGCAACTCGGACAGGGTGACGGGGTGACGCCTATGGATCTAAATGAGGGTGATGGGGTGACGCCTGGCGCCTATGGGTCTAAATAAGGGAGGGTGACGGGGTGACGCCTGGCGCCTATGGGTCTAAATAAGGGAGGGTGATGGGGTGACGCATGGCGCCTATGGATCTAAATAAGGGAGGGTGACGGGGTGACGCCTGGATAAGGGAGGGTGACGCCTATGGATCTAAATAAGGGAGGGTGATGCCCAAGATACTGGATAAGCGAGGGTGACGGGGTGACGCTTGTAGCACCAAGGACAGTGCCAAGAGGACATATTGGCGGATGGGAAAAGAAGCGAGGGTGACGGACAGCCACTTACGACACCTCATGGGAAAAAGAAGGGGTGACGCTGACAGCGCCAAGGGCAAAAAATGGCGGATGGGAAAAAAAAAGGTGGGGTGACGGACAGCCACTTACGTGATGGACTTCCATTTGCGGCTGGGGTGACGGGGTGACGTTTACAGGGGTGCGCCCGTCAGACCAAATAGATAGGTATGGTCCGCGCTCAGAACGGTGGCATGCGCGGACGTCATCACGGTACTTGTCTTATATTCGACACTTGATGTCGTATCTGATCTACATCCATTTCCCAGAATATGATCGATCGTATATCAAGGATACAACCAACTGCCCATGACCCGCGCATGGAACAGTTCCATGCGCGGACATACGTCACGGTCAGTGCATTGCGTTGACAACATATGTCCCGCTGACGTTCGATACACGTTCGCTTACGCACACCGTTGGAACTCGTGGAACATCAGATCAGTGCTCACCTTGATCGTACACGATCACCCCCCACTGGCCAATGTTGTGGAGGATATCAAGTATGTCGCATTGTTGTGCCCGGTACTCGTTGTGCTGCTGAACGTTTTCTGGCGTTAGTTTCGACATGCCCATGATCTTGTTTCGCTTCTTGTCGAACATTTCGACTTCGTCGCGCAAGGACTGCGTGTATCGCTTGAGTGCCGAAAGACGATGCTGGCCCGACGCGACAACGATATGATTCTTGTCCTTCATCTTCAGTTCGCTAACCTTCTCCGGTTCGTCGAAATTCTTCAACAGTGAGTCCTTGTTCTCTACGCGTTTCATATCCACGATGATTGGGATTGCTGCCGTGTCTTTCATCAGTGTGATACCCAACGTCTTGAAGGATGTAACTAATTTGTTCGTTTCCTCGTCTTTTTCAGGTCGATCGTTGTACACCCCGAATTTCAGGGTGTCTGCGATATCCAGCAAATTCACCCATGCAACGCCAGCTTTGCATTTCGCAACCTGTGCGTCCAATTTCTGCGTCTCTTTCCCGATGTCTTTCTTCTGACCAGTAGGTTCTATCGGCCTTTGATCCAGGTGCAGGTGCGATCCACCTTCGTCCTGATGCGCGTTAGTATCTCCTTCGTGAGTCTGTCTTTTCACTTTTCAACGTCAGATACTCACTCCTCCTGACGCTGCTTTCTTTCCTCCACCTTTCGTTTTCCTGGGAGGCATTGAGATCGAAAAAATGGTCACAATGTAGGGGCAACACGAAGGTAAGTAACTAACAGTTAAAAAATTTCGCTATCCGACTCCCAGAATTTCTATTTACCCTGTACCCTCCGCCCTCCGCCCTGTGCCTCTGCCTCATGTTCTCTTGAGGTCCGCGAGCATCACGTGGTATGGTCACGTGATGTTCAAATTAGTATACACGTAGTCGATAGAGTATTGACAATATTATATCTTTATGTATATATGCTAAGTATGTACTATAGAGTAATAACCTCCGCAGATGGAACAGTGCCAAGCGCGGAAGTTTACGATACTTAGTTTATACAACCTATATACAATACAATATATAATGACGATGACATTTATATTTTGGTACATTATATACCATCAAGTTATGGCTTCCGCAGATGGAACAGTGCCGAGTGCGGAAGTTTACTATCAGTAGTCTATACAATGTATATAAAATAGATATAAAGATATAGATGACAATTACAATTACATCTTTATATCTATTTTATATACATTGTATAGACTACTGATAGTAAACTTCCGCACTCGGCACTGTTCCATCTGCGGAAGCCATAACTTGATGGTATATAATGTACTAAAATATAAATGTCATTGTCATTATATATTGTATTGTATATAGGTTGTATAAACTAAGTATCGTAAACTTCCGCACTTGGCACTGTTCCATCTGCGGAGGTTATTACTCTATAGTATATAGGTTGTATAAACTAAGTATCGTAAACTTCCGCACTTGGCACTGTTCCATCTGCGGAGGTTTACAATACGTATATGATTGCATCTCATTGTACGTGCATTGGTGTGATTCATTTGATTTACTTAAGTCAGTACGCCATTGAAACTGTTGCGAACGCGGATGTCAAAGTATATAATCATATATATATAATATTGTTCATATGTTTACCCCATAGGAGGGATACAGTAGGTTACTTACATGTCTATCAATGATATATTGGGTGGTTATAGTGGTCAGTTTGTGTGATATATGAAATGGTTATCTTTACACTTGATATATGATATATATGCTGCATTTCTTAATGATACATTGCCTAAATCAATTTGACAGGCTTGCCTTTTTTGTTTTTCAGGGCCAGGGGGCTAACATAACCATATATTTAACCGAACCCATTTACAAATATCCTATATAATTTTACCCATTTTTGTGAGCTATAGTATTGTCATTTTGAATGATTTATTTGGACAATCACCCTCAAATTCAGTTTCAGGGAGCTTAGGGTCAACAAAACCATAGATTTAACCAAACCCATTTACAAATATCCTTTATAATCACTTGGAATTCGAACCAATTCATTGGAACTATGACCAGACTTAAATAAAACAGTAAAACATGATTTCGCTGAAAATCAAAGGAAAACCAGGGATTTACTGGAAATTACCTCGATTTCGGGGGGAGGCTTTCCCTGATGGTCCCATACAGCGTGTTCTATTATAGGTAATCATAATGTCAAAGTCGTTGTTCTCAACCTCTGAGCGTGTTCTATTATAGATCTTAACAGTAGTACCAATGAAAACAGATCCCTAATCAACAACAACAAACATACATCTACAGTATCTCTATCATCCTGACGTCTATCGGGTCTCGAACAGAAGCCACATCTTTGACCTGTGCAATGATATCACGATCCGACACGACCCTCTTGTACTCTCCGCCGCGCTGCCGCGCTAACAAAAATGCACCAAAAGGCTGCCCAAGGCGGACAAGCAACCGCAAAACTCGCGATTCTAGATCATCCACCTTCTGTTGTACAAGAGAATAGCTAGGTGAGTTGTCTGACGGAGAAGGGGGCGGCGTGTAATAATCCTCTTCGCTCTCGGTATCGTCTTGCAGATCTGCAAAGTCTGGTAGCTCGAGGACAGACCGATCCCAGGGACGGACAAGCACGAAGGTTTGCTGATTGGGCCTTGTCCGCGAGAACTGAACGATCGGTTGTTTGGTAGTGATCAGCAGGTCATGAAGCCCATCTACCTTGACTTCATATCGAGTCTCCTGGAATGTACCGTAGCTCAGACTGACTTCTGTGACACGGAATGCCATGCAAGGCAGATGCAGTCTGCAGTTCGCAAAACGAGCAGCGCTCATGTTATCAAGCCGGTCGTAAAGTCTCAAAGCCAAATCCACAACCATGGGATTTTTTCGCAGCGAAGAGACAGTTGTCTGAATCTGATCCTCGGACAAAGATGGAAGGGTACATGGAGGAGTGGCGTAAGAAGTAATATGGGCTGGAAGACAGCTGTTGAACTCAGAAGGCTGTCCGACCCAGTCGAGGACAGTGATGTCGCCCGACCGAGCCACGATCTCCTGCAGGAGCCGCCCGAGCGCGTTCTGCTTCTTCTCGCCATAGATGAGAGGTAGGTGGACACCGAATATACCAAACAATGAGTATGCGATGTCTTCTTGCAATGTAGTGACGCGAGATGACGCCCATTGAAGTCTCTGTCGGACGTTGCTCATCCCTGGATGAAAAGATATCAGGGCCCGTGCATCTATGCCCATCGCTTCCTCCAACTCCTTCATGATTTCAGGGGACTCTTTGTGGTTGGGAGAGTGATCGTCGAGATATATTGACCAATCCTTCTGATAAAAGATAACAACTTTCGGAGCGACGAATTCTTGAAAGGTCCATCCTCGCTTGTTCCAAACACTTCTTGCCAGTCCACCAGGCTGGGATGAAGGAGGGACATCGCATAGGTAGACGATGGTAAGCGCTGAATGGCGGTACCAAACGAACATGGAGTTAACCGATTCTTGAAGCTCGGTATTGCTCTTCTTGTCGATGCAGCATGTGTCCATCCATGCCCAACGATACCCGGCATCACAAGCGACTTTGCAGAATGACTGCAGTTTCGCGATGCCATCAACTCCCTTCAACTCACGTACATCTTTATCCTGGATGTCGTGCAGCAGCGCCTCCGTCTCTTCCCACCTATGTGATAGCAAGACGCAGCGGAAGTACGTCGCCACTACGTCTTTGATGCGCTCCATTCGGAGATTCAAATCCTTCGTTGGAAATGAGACAAGCTCATTGTACTCTGGACTCGTTTTGAAGGAGTTTAGCTGTGCCGCTCTATCGCACAAAAGACCCGTAGAGGTATTAAGTAGACGTAACGGGGCATATTCAAGTTCAATCCAAATAGCGCTTTGAATGGCGTTGTCTACTTCGGATGGACAGACATACTGCTGACGCAGATCTGCAGAACGAGATAGGTAGGCACTTCGAGATTATGCAGGAGTGTCCCATGGCTTACCTCGTATCTGTGCTTCGGGAGAATCGTCCAATTTGGACAACATGATTTTGAAGACTTCATTGGCTTCGTCGTGACGTTGCGCACCACGCAGCGCGGTATGTGTCAGCTGGTATCCAATGTGAGACGAAGGATTGAGTTCGGTGACCTATGCATTGCCGAAGTCAACACGGACTACGAAAACATAGATGCCATCGCACCTTCTGCGCATCGAGAAGTGCCTCCGTCCATAGCATTTTTTCCAACCTTGCCTTGCTGCGCTTTACAAAGACGGCATAAGGTGCAGAATTCAAGTCGATCGCTGCCGAGTAGAGGTCAATCGCCCTATCATAATCGCCTACAGCGAGGGCAGTATCTCCGTTGGTGAGGCAGAGCACCCTGCACTCTTCCGTGAAAGCTGAGTGAAATGAGGGTAAGGATTGTAGCCTGTGCGACATTACGAACTCCAGACTTGCCATTGAACCAGTCAAGACAGTCGGCTTTGGCATTTTCGTCACTCGAAACCATCATATATTGGTAAGATTTCACGGCATCTTGAAGTTTACCTGCCCGAAGGAGTGCGTGACAATGATTCTGGCGTGCAGTGACCCACAATGATTTGAGATTCCAGCCGAAGAGCTGAATAAAGAACTTGGTTATGAGAATTGTTTCGGATGTGTATTAACGTACCACCACCAGATCCTCGTAAATTTCATGAACGTCCGATTTCGATGATAAAACGCTGGAGTCGAGAGCGGCAGTGAAATGGCCAACGGCTTCGTCGTGACGTGCACCATCTAAGGCTTTGAGTCCAAGTTGAACACGTAGATATGCCTAATGTGCGAGTTGCAAGATTAGTATTGGTGCAGATGACCCACCATGATACTTACTCCCACGATGTGACACGCGCGAGTGTCGGCATTCGGACAACCGTTAGTGAGTTCTTTGAGGAGCAAGTTTGCCTCGTCATGTTGATCTGCATTGAAGAAGGCGATGACCTGAAATACATTATGAAGTGGATAGTACGCGAGGCAACTGTAACATACTTTGATCAAGAGCAGGAAGTGGAGGATTTGTGAATCTTGGTCCGTGTACATTGATGCAACATCAAATGCTGCCCTCGCATCCCGGACATGACTTGTTCCGCAGAGGGCAATACCCTTGGAGATATAGCCTGTCAATGAGGGCTGAATGCTGATGGACTGTGCCACCATAGAATCAGTCTTTCATAAGGGGGCCATGATGCGTCAGTGAATCTCACCTTGATGGCGTCCTGAAGGGCGCGGTCCCAGTCATGTCTTCGCGCCATAACAAATGAACGATGGGCGTAAGAAGTATGGTTGGTCGGATTGGTGTTGATATCTTGGGTGAGTAGTTTTTCGGCGGTAGATAAGTCTCCATTTATGCATGCAATGCGGGCTATCGTAATGGCTAGGATCTGCACGAAACATGCTCGAATTGTAGCATATGAGTCAAGTGTGGAACCATGCCTTTGTATGAATATTGTGAGGCACTGCCCACTCCGAGATCATTTTATCGTAACCTCCGCTGAGGATGTGGTTGCCGTCCACGGAGAAAGTGATGCATTGCGTCCAGGAGTGCTGGAATATGGCGACGGTCTGTCTGTCTGAGGACCGCCAGAGACGGATATGGTTGTCATCAGATACGGAGGCGACGAGCGTGCCAGCAGGATGAATGGCAATGGCATTGATTTGATTGGAGTGGCCTGTCCAGGGATCACCGATCTGCTTCCAGGTTGTTGCATCCCATTCGCGTATGGTAGGATCCTCCGAATTGCCGCCTGTGAGAAGGCGTGTGCCATCAGGCGTCCACGCCAGTGACAAGTTGTCTGATGTGTGACCCTTGAAGGATGCGATGCGTTTTCTCGTGCCTGGATTATAAATTTCGATGTCGTCGTTTGTTGCGATGGCAAGAAGTTCTCCAGATGGTGAATACCGTACCCAGTTGATATCACCACACCAGATTGAATTTTCTTGTTGCCCCCAGGTTTTTGTATTCCACAGCTTTGGCGTCTTGTCAAACAAACCTCCAGTGGTCAGCGTTGTTCCATCAGGAGAAAAATCCAGCGAGTAGATCCAACCGGAGTGGGCTTCGATTTTAGTGAGTGATTCGCCAGTTTCTCCGTGCCAGACGATGACCTCTCCGTCTCTATCACCGCTTGCTATCAATTGCCCATCTCGTGATACTGCCAATCTCCGTACCCCGCTGCTATGCCCCTCCATCCTCTTCAATGCAACACCTGTCTTCAGGTCCCACAGACGAAGCGTCTTGTCGTATGAGCCGGTAACCATCCGTTGTTTATCGGGGAAAACTGCGACTGCTGTTACGCGTTCTTCATGGCCTTTGAACTCTCGCGAGGGCATGGTCATCATCAATGAAATGAGGTTCGACATTTCACTGGAGGTTGATAGCGTTGAGCACAGTTGAGGTGGACTTTGAAGGGATTGCGTCTTTCTCTGAGCTGCAAGAGGTCCGTTTATTGTGCGTTTTATGGTGCTTCGCTGTGTCAACCTGCCTCATTTCAATAGACGCCCAGGCCAAGGAAGCTGTTCGCCTCCACACCTCAATCATCGTAATGCGCCCTATTGTCACACCCTCTGTCTTCGATAGTATGCCCTCCAAGCACCTCCGAAGTGCATGTATGCGTCCCACTCTTGTCTTCAAAGCTTCCAGAATGTATCTCATCGCATCCACTGATCGAGCATCGAGCAGTCGGTGCTTCATCAGTAAATCATGAGCCTATGACTTTCCAAGTCACACGTTGCTTACTGAGTGCTAAGTGGCTGCTGAACCGTATGAGACAAAATGTACGCCGTATGGTTTCTCTTGAATTTGTTCTGATCCAAGAGACTTCGATTCGCATTTTGGACGGGTAAACATAAGAACTCGAGAACGAAAATTCCAGGAGAGCTATAGTGGAACATAAACGGTGCTGTGATATCATACTTGAAACACTATCAATAACAAGATCGGACTCTATTCATGTCAATACTAAGGTGGCGATGGGGTGATACAACTTAATTATACATCATTAGAGATTCAGCCGAGTCTAAGAATGAAGTTCTTTACGCAATTCATTCGATATGCTATTGCTGGAAGTAAAGGGCATTATTTGGGTGTCTAGTATGTACATGAAATCGATACATTCAGGGTCATCGCCGTCTAAACATAACCTCTGCTTTCCGGTTGGGAGAGGAATTCATCAGAAACCATTCATCTGGAGGACGCTCGCCTTCTTTTCCAATTTGATATCATAGTTTAGCACAAGATAAGCCATCATGGCCTTCATCACACTAGAAGCAAAGAAGCGACCGGGGCTGACAAAATCAGTGAGTGAGTACTCAAGATCGGGCAATTTTAGCGTACCAAGCATGATGTCCATACCCAAAAGGAATATAACTTGCACTAGTGGAAGCTAGCAGGCTTTGTGGGTCTTCTCCATTGTCCTCGCGCCACTGTGAAAACCGGAAAGGTTGAAATTCAGATGCGCTGTCGAAGTATTCCTCATCGAGATGCATGGGTAATGAAGCGACAACGACGCAAGTTCCGCTGGGTATCACAGTACCATCCGAAAATACGAATTGCCGCATTGCTTTGCGCATTATAGGGACTACCAGAAATCAGCTTAGTATCACCAAAAATGAAGAACAACCTGCAGAGAGTGGTGCAATTGAACCGTTGGGATTCTTTGAGAAAGCTGTCCATCTTGACGAGTTTCGTCATCGCAGTCTTCGTCCATCCATCTTGATTAATAACAGCCGAAGCTTCCTCTCGAAGGGTTGTGCAATATTGAGGATATGTAGCAAGGTTGAATAGAGCGTGGGTAAAGCTCTGTGAGATAAGGAGTCAGTGATCAATTTGCTCTAGATTATAGCGGCATACCTGAGCTGATGTATGTAATGAAGCGAAATTTAGGACCAAAATACGCAAGCATATACTCCGAAGATTCCTGTGCTCATCGTCGGATACGTCAATTAGCCAGCTAATCATGTCATTCTGTATAGGGAAACATAGTCAAGTGGCAAACAATGTCTTAGGAAGATAACACACCGGTTGAGCGTGCCATTTGTCCCTGAATTGATCTAGAGTCTGCAATCGTTTCCTTACGATAGGTTCAAGAAGCGCCATGCATCTCCTAATGCTACTAGGCGTGTTCGTCAATAATCGACCAATAATCCTACAAGTCAAAGTTGGATCATCGCACCATCAATTCAGCAACACTGCTTACGGATGTGCAAATTTGGGAAAAAAATTCAGGAGAGTTGCGCGCAATAGCACTTGTAAAGCGAATTGATGTTGTAGGGCCTCAAATTCAGGGGATCGGCCTGTAAGCGGGTTGAGTGGGTGAACCCTTGATCTAAGCGAGCCACTCACATAGCGGAAGCCCAACAAAGAGGCGATTGCTTACGCGACACATAGCCTTCATGATCTCCGGGTATATGCGAACCTTAGCCCAACCTACGCAAAAAGCACGTAAAAAAAACCTCACGGAGAAGGTGGCAAAACTTGCCATTTTTGTCTAACGGTATGATGGTACTGAATACGTGATTGATTTCGTCGTAAACATCAGGAAAGAGCGCCTGAAGGTTTCGGGAGAGATGGTTGCGAGTGACTTGTATGTGATAGGGATACTCTTGCACATCGACGCCAAATGTATATTTGACTTGAAGAAGCTGCGAGACAGTGCATCAATGCTATGGGCCAAACTATAAATTTCCAACGCACATCTCGTATAGCGTGATCAAACGAAAGCTCGTCTTCAGGCACCTTCCTCAACTCCTCTATTAGCCGCGGCCCAGTCAGCACCACTACCCATTTGTCAAACAATGGCACTCTGAATATTCCGCCTTTGTGCTTCATCGACGTTCAAAACTTAACTGTTCAAGAATAACATTGTCACCAACCTTCTCATAGCCTTCTTGCACCATGGCTGGAGCATTATTTATGAAGCGGACCACGCCAAGCCATGAAGAGATTGCTCCTGATGGGCCGACTGCAGGAATAACATTCAGCTAGACTCGACGTCAGTCGGCCCACTGCGACTGCATAGAAGTGCTTACTTCAGAACGATTGTAGATGGAGAGGAGTAGAAGGGCTACCGCAACAACCAAGCCATAGATAAAAAGACCAGCACTATCCATGGGACAAGCGTTGGAGGCAAAAAGAGGTAGATAGCGCAGGGGGCAGAAAGAAATTGAGAACGTCCGGGAAAGTTTGGAGTCTGGGATGTGCAGCCGCCCGGCTAGATTCGAGCGGAGTTTAATTCCCTTTGGTAGTATATGACTTCGCTTGCGAACTTATCATTGTTACGCGTGACAACAGCGTCGGCCCCCTGTTTGTCAACGTTCGCCACAACGACCACGCACTTTTGACAACCAAACAAAAATTTGACTTCTGGCGATAACTAAGACAGAAACTACACCGTTACCAATGGCCATGGATGTTACTACTCTATTTTCATGTCAGGGGGTGGGGGTGCTAAGAACATGACATGGTGGGCGGGCAGGCAGTGGGCGCAGCAGGGGTTGTCAGGTATGCAGGGTCAGCCACCTCCCAGCTGGTAATCAAACTCTGCTCAAATCTAGCTGGGTAGTGGCTGGCACACCCCCAGATTGGACCCAGACACAACCCCGATCTACTAAGTTTAGATGTATTCATCTACTTCACTCAATATCTCCCATAGTTTGCGGTCCTGTTCTCTTAAGTTTCGCACGTGCTAGTTTAGTTTGTCTCTTCCCTCGAGCTTGCGATTCTCGTCGGCATCTACTGGTAAGCACTGCTCATTATTTCTGTAGAATTCGCAGTCTATAGGAACTCAGATACTCGATGGTGTTCTTCAGAATTTATTGGTCGTGCAGATGCTCTTTTGCTGGGACCGTCATCTCTCATACTTGGCGTTCGAGAATATTAGTAGCCGCCTCCGACGCAGAAATCAACATGATGTCTTCTAGGAGCGTGTACATGTATAAATAGTAGTAGTACATCATTCTGTGTTGCTCGGAAATTTACGGGATCGATAACTTATGAATATGTACAGACGATAGCAATACGATGTAGAACTACACACCGATATGAACAAAAACCATCCTCTGCTCGAGCGGCACTTTCGTCTTCACGGCGTGTGTAGCACAGTTGAGTGCCCAAGCCGCCTTCGTACAGTCCATGACACCACCATCTTTCAAATCTCCAAACATGTACGTGTAGAAAGCTTCAACGACGTGTTTTGCGATGGCATCGTCGACCTCCCACAACGTGCCAACGACGCTCTTGAACCCTGAAAACTGGAGACCAGCTGCAAGGTAAACCACTTCCTCGGATGTCTTCTCATCACCGATGGCGGTATGACAAGCAGATAAGAACGCGAACTCAGCCTGCGGAATGTCTCTGTCCACAATATCGAGCAGCGTCAAACGTTCGTCTCTCATAACAAAATGCGAATTGTCAGGCTGCGTAGGGTCCTGTTTCTCATGACAAGCAAGGTGCACCCAGGTGTTCTGCTGCAAAGTTGAGTGTGCACCTGCTCGTGTGGCTGCGTCGCCAGAAATAGTGGTGCAGTTGGCAGTTGTGGGGATGAGCTTACGGACAAGCTCGAGCTCGCTGTCGATAGCCAATAGCGCCTTGCCTTTCCCTGCACCCGGTTGACCTTGTCCAATCGCCACAAAGGACGGAGGCACGCGCTTCTTCATCAACTGTCTAGATCTGATTAGAGCTGAAAGTGTCGGCGTGTAAGAACAGATGTAGAGATCTTCCAGGCATGGCTCCTTGCCAGAACGATCTGCCTTTGTTTGGAACGGGTGAGCTGCATGGAGAGGAATGGACGTGAAATCTGCAGTTGGACATAACGAGATTCGAGAGTGGTGCTTTAGTTTGAGGATGTGCTCGAGTACGTTGACGATGGGTAACATGATCTCGTCCCATATTATCCGCAGGAGTACTATTAGATCCGTCCTTGACTCCGCTGGGCTCATTCGAGATGCGTCTCGTATTGCCCTGGCGAAGCGATCCTTGAGAATCTTCAGATCTGCGAGAGCGATGGATGGCAAAGGAACATGATGGGGGCCTCCTGATGTCGGGACAATGATGGCGCTGCACGAGTTCTGGCTGGCGATGAGGATGATAATCGGGCCCTGGCGTGCTGCCACTTGCAGGTCTTCGTACGAAGGTGGGAGCAAAAACTGCGAGAACGCCCGAAGATTACGTGTCTCAGCTACCACAGCTTCCCATTGCTTTGTGAGTCTCCTATACTCCGTTGCTGCCTGATCAGCAACAGCTTTGTTGGTTCTGGCTATAGAACCCCGAGCATCGGACAGGTGCGTACTAAGATTTAAAAACTTGCGAGCTAGTTCGGGATTCCTAGACTTGAGGTCTTCGAGTGGTGTCCTGAGCCGCAATACCAGTGACCACTGCTGGCCACGGCCCTGCTCCACGAGCTCGACTGCCCGTCGTAGATTGTCACGACGTATGGCACACGAGGCTGCATCTACAGGAAGTGATCGCGCACCACGAAAAGCGGCTGCAAGCTCGCGCCGTGAGATGACCGACGATTGCGTCATCATATGGCTGTCAAACAGCTCAAAGCACATTTGGTATGCTTCTAGGGCAGATTCATGTTGATATACCTCTGCTTGGCGAGCCCAGTCAATAGCCTTTATGATGCGTTCCGGAAATATTTGAGTAGGATGCCTTGATGCCAGTCGGAAGTTCTCCACTGCGAGCGACAAATCAACAGGGTCGCGTAGAATCTGATAACGAGACACATAGGCCACCTGCAACCGCATGTAGCTGAAATACCTGTCCGGGTGAAGTGAAGACAGAGCTGCCAATGACTCTTGGCAAAGAGTAATGGCCTCCTCGACATCTTCATTATCCTGAGTCTGCATGAAACGAGAGCAGAGCACTGCACTCAAATTGTGAAGAGTCACATAGCGCTCTGGATCAAGCTGCGTTGACCGAAGAGATTGGTGATATAAATCGATGGTCTCGTTAAGATACTCGCTGGCATGTGATATGTCATGTCTCTGTTGAAGCGCGAGGGCAAGGTGGTTAAGAGTGCTGTCACGAAGTGGATGCCCAGCTGGACGCAATGACAGTGCCTCGCGATGGAGGGTGATAGCTCGAGTGAGGTCTACAACGTTCCGACGTTTGGTAAAACGGGCGACAAGGGCGCTCCCTAAGTTGTCTAATGAAAAATCACGAGATTCGTCCTCGACAGGGCACAGGTGCAGGGATTCTTCATAAAAAGAGATGGCATCATCAAGGTCATTAAGTTTGCCTTGGTGATCGAAGCGGAATGCGAGTGAGACGGCCAAGTTGTTCAGATGGATATGACGGTCAGCATGTCCCTCGGGGCTCAGAGACATGGCTTCACGACGAAGTTGTATGCTTGTGTCAAGATCATCGATGTTGCCGTGCTGATCAAAACGTGCTTCAACTGCTTGTGCGAGATTGTAGCGGGCTCTGAGACGGAGCTGAATCAGCTGATGACCATGAGGACACAGCTCGAGGACAACTCGTCGAAGGTGGATGCCTTCATCGGATGCGTCTATTGGAAGATTGTTGCATTTGACGATCACATTATCGATACTAATTTTCCTTGCCACGATGCTACGAAGGTACGTGCCACCTGAACAGAGAAGCAGGAGCTTATGATAGAGGTAGGCGATTTCGCAGATGTCAGCAGCAGTACTTGTCTTATGATAACGCCAATTCAGCGCTCTGGTGAGATTGTATAGAGATAGGAGATGATCGGGATGAGGCAGCGGACGTAATGCAAGGGCTTCGCGGAAGAGGGAAATTGTGGAGTCGATATCTTGATAGTCCTTGAAAATATACCCTTGAAGGCGGGCCCATGCGAGGTTGGTGAGAGCTGTCGCGTGGTCTGGATGGCTGAACGGACACTGATCCAGGGCCAACTGAAAACACTCTACAGCAGCGTTCAAGTGAAAGACATTCCGGCATGTCGCGTATTTGACAAATCGTGCATGGCCCGGATCTGTGTTTCGAACAATCTCGCAATCTACGAGGGACTATAGTTGGCATTCAGCAAAAGTTAACAAGCTGGAGTCTGGCGTCACTCACATCAAACAGTACGCCATTTTGATTGTCGCAAGCATGTACAACGGCGGCCTTCAGTGTGATGGAAGGTTGGACACCGCGCACGGGTGAGAAGGATAAGTCTACGAGATGTTAGTATATGTGCACGAATAAGAAGCAAATCACTCGCCAAATGGCTCATCTCCATGATCGAGTAGCTCATCCCATGGCATTTGAAGTTTTCCAATGACCTCTCCACCGCCTAGCATTCGAACAAACTCATAGGATGCCCTGATCTCGACTGACAATGCAAGTGAGACGTGTGATGACCTATAAACTCAAGATCAGTTCTTGTATCGCGTCAGTCACTGTGAGCTTTACAAGGTTACAGTATTCCCCCACGCTACAGATTGATCGGATGTTAAGACACTGATGGCTGACTTCCAGCATCTTCCCGAGTCGACATTGATGGACACATAAATGCCAGCAGGAATACGCCAGGAGGGGATTAAAAGATTTTTTGCGTTGATGACTGTACAGTGTAGATAGAGTGTGAGGATCATGAAATAGATACGAAGGTAATATGGAGGAACTCGCCTTCAAGTCTAATATATCGGCTTTCTGAGCAACTAGGCATGATAGCACGACGGAGCAAAATGATAAGGATCGAGGATGGGCTGGGTGGTGGATGGAATAAGAGAGAGAAAGACGGGGTGGGGATATGGGGACTGTGGATAGAGTTCAGCTGAGAAGGAAGGTTGCAACGTTTTGAGGGTTCAGATCATACTACACGCGTTGTCGAGGACTGTTCGGCACAATAGACGCTGATATGATCGTACCAAGCGCTTGGAAGATCACCAACCGGAAGAATCTGTGCTAAAGAAGTAGACAATGTTATGACCAGTCTTCAGCGTTCGAAGGTGGCCCACCAAGGTTGAAGGGGAGATACAAGTCTCAGAGTGTCTGCTCCTGGACTTGCGTACTCAGTTAGCACACAAAGGCAAAATTTAGAATGGGGTGTGTATTTCATATGGCAACATTATTCAAAGCACTGAAAACGGCACGGAAAGGAAAGCCTCGGGCTATGATCGAGAGCATCAAGTACTTTAGGGAGGGTTTGCGATATGACGGGTTGCAATATGAGAATTCAGCTGAATGCGCTGTGCAGCAGCGAATGACAATGAGCAATGAAAGGTGACTACGATTTGGAGAATGAGCTACCAAAACAACAATATTAATGAAGTCTTTACGATACCTAGTACTGAACGTTGAACGTTGAACGGTAGTGTGACACCGTTGTTGCGGAAGTTGAATGAACTACGAACTGAGTGAAAGTGTCATTGCTTACTCAATTCGTTGGTTCATCACCCGGATCCTGCCTGCCTTAGAGTTACGTCCAATTCTGATGATGTCTTCTAGAAGATCAAGCAATTAGCGTACAAAGTACTATTGAGCTTCGGTATCCCCTTCTGGACTGCAAACGAATGGCATTCACCGGCACCTGGGCCATCGTTGAAACTCTTCAAGTTGCTGTGTCCGATCGGAGCCGCGGCGCACTGGCAGGACAAGTTCGTTCATCACACCACACCACGGTATCATGATGTCAAGGTCATTATCATTTTCTGATAAGCAGTGAGACGGCCCAGTGACCATGCAAAGTCTATCTGACAGATCTACCTCCCTAACTACTAGGTGAGCATCGGTAGGTGGATCGGCGAGTTTTGTCTATTACGACTTGTTACGTTTATGATGTCCGACATATGCATCTTGAACGAAGCTTCAGCGCTGCAGCCCGTGTCAGCGCTCAGTTGCAAAGCCGCATGCTTCCGATTGTTTCCATTACTACCGTGACTACATGACACTGATGTGCCGAATTCTTTTCAGACAGCGTAACGTATTCCCAGACTCACCTCCTGATAACGTGTCCACTGGATATCTTCGAACACTGCCCTGCCACAGCAGGAACCGAATATATAATTACGTCCAGTGCTCTGACCCACTAGCCAACAACTTTTTTTTTCGTTGGTCTGCCTACAGCTCACAGTGAGTACTAGATGGTCACACGTCGCTGGTATGCTTACGGCCGCACTACCAGTGACCCTCAGTCTTCAGAAAGCGTGTGGGAAAGATAATTGGAACGCTCTAGCTGACAGTTTGCAGACTTTACAAGATGCACAACCCGCATCTGTCGCTTGCACAGCAAGCAAGTGCTTCCTCCCGCTCCCGTTTTGTGCAGCTGGGCTCTAAAGGTAATGCTCGCTGGCAATTAGGTCTGTCTTGCATCACTGCCTGTCACCCGCTGTTGGTTATCAAGTGAAATGCTTCTGCCACTGATCGAGATCCACAACCTCTGCGCAGTTTTCTCAATCTGTTCCTCGAAGGCAGTGATCGTTGGTGTCAGGTGAGTTCCTGATTTGTGATGCGACCAGCACTCAAAGGCGTTTGGGTTGTCAATGGGCTCATTCTTCAGACTTACAGTCGTCTTATCTGTGCTGGGAACTTCCCATGGCTTTCAATCAACCGTTTTTCACTGAACGTTGGCTGAAACAAGTAACGCCGTGTTCCTGTGGACTATTTCAAAACAAGCGCCGAACTAACTATATGCATGCAGGGCCTGGAACAGCTTTTTGGCGAGGAAATCCTCAAGAGCACAGTCTTATCCCGTCCTTCGGCACTTCCGAACGGCTACCAAGCACACACTGATAAATCTACATAGGAATTCCTTTCATTCTTAAGTGCGCTCTACCCTATTCACAAAAGTCGACTTTGCTCATGCGCAATACAAATAGTGAGTTCAATAGCCCGTGATGACTTATACTCACTATTCCCTCAGAGATCCGACTTTTCTTGCTGCTGCTCGCATTTCTTGAAGGGGCATACGCCAGCAACATCAATATTACCGACTGCTTCCTCAATTTCAGATTGAATGCGAACCAGAGCCTTGATCCTTCTGGATTGGTGAATGGTAATGGCGGAAATGTCTCGTCGTCGGACATTATGAACGCAGTTGGATTCACGTACCAGATGTGTCTCTCGCAGTGCGGCTCTGGAACACAGAATCCCACTTGGTCAAACATATCGCAACAGTTTGGCGCCTGGCTATTACCTTACCTTGCGCTCATTTCTCAGCTGCCTTTCGGTGCAAGACATAGAGTTGATAATCTCATGTCTGCCATCCTCACAGTTGGATCACCAGTTCTCGCTGGCTATCCAATGATTCTCACCATTCTCAACGCCAACTGGATCAGTCGTCGCTTCGAAGACCTATCCTTCCCTAACACTAAAGACGCCGTCCGTATCCTCATAAGCCTTCAACAAAGTCCACTAAGAATAACAAATGAAGACTCGCTGCTGAGCTCTCTCGTCGTCCTGCCACAGAATGATGAATGGTGGCCAAGCATTGCGGGTTTTCTCGATTACACTCATACCTGGTCCATCTCATCTGTCACATCCATCGCGTGGGTTGTTATCGCCTACTTACTGACAGTCGCCAGCTCACTATCCGACGTCTCCTCCAACATCAACTCCAACGGTCAAGGGACGGGATCGGTGTGGTTGTGGCTTATCCCAATCGTCATAGGTTGGCTGCAACTGTCCCCGAAGTGCGATTATGCACGCATTAGAAAGGCCATGGATGACGCGGATGCAATGGCATTTGTGGCCACTGATTATGGTGTTGTCATAAAGGCTTCCGATCTTTCGGAAAGGCGGGCAGTATCCATTGATGCTGATACAGAAAGTCCTTCATCTGACGACGAAATGTTGACTCCGCCCGTATATAACTATGCCAGGGCCATTTCATGGTCTCGGTCTGCGGAGGATGTCTTCAATGCTTTTCGGATAGCCTCCAACAATGCCAAATTACACAGACCGGTCATGATTGGTACTACATGGATGAACTCGAATAGGAGGGACTTTATTGAGCCCGGCAACAGGAAGGGCAACGCATCCGAAGTCAATGCTTATTGCAGACTTCCTCGATACACGGTACGAAGCCCCTGGGCGACAGGGATGTTCTTTCGCATGTTCGTGGCCTCGCTGCTGCCACTAGCTTTGCAATGGGCAACAACTGGATCTGCGGTAATAGTTGTGTATTTAACTCCAACTGTGGTAAGTATTATTTGACATGAGCTTATCTGCGTCTGTTACTGATTAGCGGCACACGCCAGGGCCTTGGTTGTAGATCTCTCGGTTACCTCATCTATGGCGCACTTGCAACTGTAGTATGGGCGATGCTCGTTATGTCGAGCATCCTGTCACACCACGCATTTTCATACTCGGACAGACCCAGGGGTCCTTTCTCATCTACCACCCTCAGGCTCGCAAAGCTAGCATCGAACTTTTTGAGATGGGGAGGGAAGTTGGCGGCAATCGTCAATGCAATTTGGATAATTGCGGCGGGGATGCTGCAGTTTACAGATATCTATGATAATTGTTACTGCAACTCAAGTGTGTTGGGGAGAGGGGCCCAATATGCTTATGACATTGTCTTGTTCGATGGTATAAACTTAGATCAAACCAGAGCTGCTTGGTTCGGAGCGTTGGCTTTGGCCGGGTCTACCTCTTTGGGATTCATTTTTTACATGAGTTTATTGACTGATCTCGTACCTATATGAGGTCTCCGAAGATGATATACTACACTATACTTCCGGTTCTTTAGTTATATTATAGTTGTGTGTGTGTGTGACACTTGTGTTTTGCTTGCGTCACCTGTCCATAGCACTGGAATTTGAGGGGCTGCTAATAGCTATCATGTCCGGAAAATCTCATGTAATCAGTAAATAAACCTCTGGCCTGTTTTCTGTGAGTAATCAGTGTCTGTCTTGAGCTGTAACTCATGATTGTTTTATTTTCAAACGCTAAGTCTAGATCTCGAGCTCGCGCTCGCAATATGCCGTGGGCGCCCATCGTCTTCTCTCACAATGATCGCAAACACGACACATTGCTGCGCACTCAAACCACTCACTGCGCGAACACTTCTACGATGGCAAGAGCCCTTGTTCGGTGCGCCTGTAGCTGTTGCTCTTTAACTGACAGTGATCAACTCCAACAGTCAAAAATAACTCGCCAAAGGCATCTAGATGCTGATCAACGCAGACAAGAGCATCTGCGCATGCGGGAGACAGACCAACAGCCGGGCTCGCCCATCCCTGTATGATGGCATCACACAGGAACATGTGGATGACAATGTTCATAACCTTCAACAACGTTTTGTTTCACTGCCTGGCGGACTTAAATGGCAAATCAATCTTGACTGGTACGTGATCCACCCACTGCCAGACATCGAAGGCTCTCATCAGTACGAATATGTGCTGTAAACTGTCACTAAACATGAGATAATCGTTTTGTCATTATTGCTTTTTATCTCCTGTTTATCTGCTGATAATTTGGAATTTTCCCCACATATTCATCTGCCATTACTTCACCTCAAAGTGCGGTGTAGTACACGCTGTACACAATCTTTGGTATACAAACCTTCCCTGGTGGACAACGTAGATCAGGACTTCATAGCCATGATTAACGAGATAAAAAAGAAGGCCTTATGTCATTTTCAGGCCTGCCGCCCTCGTCCGAGTCAGAAGTCACCGAACAAATTGACAGTGCTTCAAGAACACTGCCCTTTAGTAGATCTGATGAGCAGAGCCTCCTTGACAATCACTGGACTCGGAGTATAAAAGCAGAGACGCTGTTTCCGGTAGGTCAAACCGATTTATATAGGCCTAATAGTTGATACGACGAATCTGATGCGCTTGCACAAAGGCTCTCAGGCAGGTAAGCGCAATGACTGGACTATGGGTTTCTGGTTTTCTCATTTATCACATTGGCGTAGTTCTCTTACTACTACTGGTTCACGCTGCCGGAACAGTCGTTGCGGCAGTTAACTTCGCTCAGTGTCTGAACGATATCGTTCAGAATGCTCAAGACTTAAATGGTTTACTCGATGGTAACGGAGATCCCGTATCAAATATCTCTGATGGAACATCAATCAGCTACTCAATGTGCAGAACCCGCTGCGGGACGGGGCAAGAAGCTTTCCAGTGGTCTGAATTTTCGCAAGAATTCAGCGCGTGGCTGCTGCCAAATCTTGCACTGATTTCGTAGCTCCCCTTTGGGGCACAGTACAGGCTTGATAACCTCATGTCTGCTGTGTTGAACGTTGGATCACCGACACTCGCTGGCTACTCTTTATTCATTACCCTCCTCAACTCTCGCTGGATCACCCACCGGTTTGACTTGGTGAAAGATCATCCTAATTCACCTTTCGCTCTCTCTCTCTTGAGCAGCCTTCAGCAAGTCCCTCTTAGACTGCATCCTGATCCAGAACGCTTACCCTCTCTCATCCTTCCGGAAACCGAGTGGTGGAAATGTCTCACTGAATTTGTGGACTTTACCCATACGTGGTCAATCGCGTCCGCAACCTCCATTGCATGGGTCATTGTCGCCTATATCCTGACAGTTGCCAACTCACTATCGAACGTTTATGCAAACCTTCAATCCAGCGGAGAGGCCAGTGGCTCAATGTGGTTGTGGTTGATTCTGATAGTCATCGGATGGCTGCTGCTCTCCCCAAAATGCGACTCAAACGCTTACAAGCTGCGTATGACCGTGCAGACAGACACAGTATGCACATAGGAACAACAGACATTTGTCGTGGTGTCGGGGCGCTTCCTGCGTCATCCCGGCGAGCGTTGGCAATAACTGCTACAGGGAATGATGTGATGTCACCAGATGAACTCTTCACCCCTCCGGTGTTCAATTACTCGCGTTCGCTGCGATGGGCATCTACAGCAGAGACTGTCTACATGGTGTTCAAAGAGGACTTAGAGGCGTCAGAGAAGGTTCATCTTCCCGTTTGTGGGAGTGATGGGGACGGATCTGGTATTAATGACCCTACCGACCACATCGAGTCCATCCCATACATCGACACTATGCAAGACATCCACGACAAAGGCCAACGCGGGTCCCTCCAATACTTCCTTTTGTACTGCACAGAACCCGACGGGGTGCAGAGTCAATGCAGCCATTGGGCACCTGGTGTGTTCACAAGAATGTTCATTGCTTCCTGCACTTCGCTTGCATTACAATGGGGGACAATCGGAGCGGCATTTATGGTGGGGTGGTTCACTCCTACAACAGTGGGTCTTTCTGTATACTTATAATTGAGTTGGCTAACGTCTGACAGAAACTTGGGTGTCGATCTTTGGGTTATCTCCTTTACGGAGTCATTTCGACATTAGTTTGGATGATGCTTCTGATATCCAGTATTCTCGCCCACTCTGCCGCCGCCGACCCTCGCCGAGCATCGCTATCTACACGTGTTGCTTTGGCGTTTTCGCACATTATGCGGTGGACGGGCAAATTGTTTGCCATATTAAACTTTTTTTTGGTGATTATGGCGTCCGTACTTCAGTACTCCAGCTTCTACGATAGGTGTTTCTGCAATTCCAGCGTGTTTGGCAGGGGAGGGGCAGCGTATATTGTCATTCTCGAAACCGCAGCCCAAGCTGCACAGGCTAAGAATGCCTGGATCGCTGCGCTTGTCTTAGCGTGTACATCAGCAGCAGCTTTCCTTGGTATTCTGGGCCTTTTGTTGGACACTCTACCATCTCTACCATCATAGGCAATTGGGAGGCGTAGCTTATGTTGTGAGGCCATTTGTAGTAGTACTGTGTTCGAATAAACTTTGTGAAATCATCATTTCATCGGATGATGAATGTTAACGTTCAGGCCTGTGTAGTGAAGATTGGAAAGTGGCAGTGTTATCATGATACCCCAGCCCGACCTTCTGAAACACTGAACCGCAGCATCAGCCACGTGTACCCGCACCAGGAGCGTGAATTCTAGATGACGAAGGGTGGTACATCAGGGAGTGACAAGACTTAGAGCTCAAGTTGAATCCGAGCACCAATATGTATGCAGGTAGGTGATAGGCATGAGACATTAGTCTAGTGGTATCGGACAGGGAAGTGCTGCAGATAGATCTCCAGGGTCTGCTTTGAAAGGAAACTATAGTCCAATACACATACATGCAGTATGATATATACGAAGCACCAACGAAAACCGCTCAGATCCCTAATCTCCAGAGGAAAATGTATCTACAGTATTTTAATTGTCCTGATGTCCATCGATGAGGCCCAGGTCTCGAACAGAAGCCACATCTTTGACTTGTGCAATGGTATCACCGTTCACGATCTGACGCGAGTCACGCGACCCTCTTGTATTCTCCGCCACGCTGCCGGTAAAAAGCCCAAGGCGAACAACCAACCGCAATTCTAGATCATCCACCTCCTGTTTTACAACAGAACGGCTAGGTGAGTCGTCAGATGGCGACGAGGGCGGCGTCCACTGGCATGGCGTACCGCTTGTTTTGATTTGAAATTTGAAGTGAGCACCCATTTCAGCAATTATACAATGTTGCGCTCGTCGTTGACAACAGCGAGCTTGTACATTGCATGATTTTCATGGCAAAATGCATTTTGCCATGGTGTGGCTATTGGGATCTTGAAACCCGGTGCAACATGCCTGAGTGCCTCCCTTCTACGCTCGTCACGCTCGTCCTCTCCCGCATGAGGATATCACTCCCTCCTCATCGTGAATCGTGATTCGTATGCGCTGAGAATGTCATGCGCCGAGAAGACTCGGCTGTGAGTATGTGCGGTTTTAGTGTGTATGGATAGGCGAACTGCGAGCTTGTCAGTGAGTGAGAATGTTTGAGAGTTAGAGGTACATACATATAGAGTAACGCTGTTAAGGAGAGGGTGGATGTCTGATGGTAGATGTACCTGCGAGCAATTCAGTGTAGTCGACGAAGACGTGCTTCGCATGGGTGGTGACTTTATTGAGCAGAACATGTGCTGCTACCGCATATTGTGATCCAGCTGTTTTCAATAAAACATCAGCCGTTTAGAAAACATAGAAACTACTCACTTTAGTCCGGCGTACATGTATATGGAGATGGTTTGAGAGAAATACTGGGCATATCCAGATTGGATACGGCATATGTTGTCACAGATCCTATCATTCAACACCATCTTATGTCGCTCGAATTTCATTCAAAGTGTTTGGAGCGGCTGCCAAGTTGAAAGGTGAGAAGCTACACGTCAAGATTCTAGCCACACGCAATCCCAACAATGCGACCACGACCTGCAGAAGGATTTCGACACCTATAGAGAGCACAGGTGACCCTGTGAAGCCACAGTCAAAGAATTCCTCTCTACTAGATGGGAAAACTTGTCATACGACAATTGAGGACGAGCCATAGAACATAATGAGGACAGGGCACCATTGGGGTTGCTCCATCTAAGAGCTGCACCGTTTTGCTGAGCTCTTTGCACCTGCTGGATTTACTAAGGCCACCGGTACGAGTTAAATATAGATGAGCTGATCCCCAGAGCTGCGAGAGTTTCAAGTTCCAGCAAGTTCATTGTTGATTCCTATTCTGTCGGCGCTGACGTTGTCGATGTACTGAGTTATCGCGCGTCATGATGAAGTCAAGGCACAGTCAAATGACGAACTCGTAAGCAGGTTGCCCACCCTCCCAGCAGCTTGCGTCCTAGATCAATGTATGAACTCCATACATCCTGGCCACGACATTCTGACCCCAGTCATGGAAGAATCTTCACCTTTATAGATCCCTGGAATGACATATGTCCACTACTGCTGCAGACCCATCAGAGCACTTGGCTCCTGAGCATGCACTACATATCAGCTCGTCAACTTCGTCAGAACCTGGATGAAGAGACGAGCAACAGACACCGTGACGAGGAACCGAAGAGCGAGACAGGCAGACAAAATTTACCATAGGCATCATTAGCTTACACGTTGCTTACATGTAGCATCGTCTACGACAATTCATCCCAAATTTAATTCCCCTCCGAAACTCCCTCTTCTTATTTCCTGCCGCGCATTTAAAAGCACATCTGCAGGAGACAAGTTCTGAAGCTTGGAGAGCGGAGGAAACTTATGACTTTTGGTCAGCGCGCCAGGAACCCTTTCTAACTGAAACTCGTGATTTATCATAACTTACAAGATAAACTCATTACTTCTCTACACAACAACCTCCAACCTCCAGTATCCTTGTCAGCACTTGATGAAATTTCCAACGATCATACTCGGTATGCCCCACTTATCCCGCCTGATTGTGAATGAGAAGCAACAATTTACGAAGCCCTCCTCATTGGGAACATCCTCCTTTTTCGGCGATTGCGACTGCGTATTGATGAGGGGTTTATAACGTAGCACGCAAGAAGTGAGCACGGCCTTTTGAGAAGAGTCAAAAGCAACATGGCCGTATTTCTAACATATGTGATCAGAAGTTGAAGCGAGTTACGACGGACTAGGCTTACCTCCCAGTAATTGACTGCCGACTCTTCTGCCATAAGCTCGTAGATACAAAGGCGGCCCTACAATAGAAAGAATTAGCTCCTGCAGGCATTGATAGTCACATTGAGTCTTACGTCTCGCATCATGTATCCATCGACGCCTACGAGTTCTGAAAACTCACGGTTTCCTTTATAGATCTCACCTGTTCGGCGCCAGAGACACGCTGGAACACCCATAGCTGAGAAAACACGGTCGTAATCGAGAAGTAATCGCTCGAAGGCCTCTTCTATGAATACGAGGTCCTTGTAATGCGATCAATTGCAAAATACATCAACAGGGACCTCCAACTCACGATATCACGTAGGGATTGCGCAACAGCCTAAATATGATTAGCAGTTTTCGCAAATATCATGAAGGCTTTTCGCTCACTCGGAACTTGGGCCGTAGCACAGACAACGGTTGCAAAATTTGCTGCTTCGATTGTCGAGAGACACTTAAGGATGAACAGGTGTCAAATCATTGTCTCAACACGAAGACGTTGACGCACTTGCGATCCATCCACCTTGACAACCGTGCATAGCCCTTGACATAATCATACGGTTTGAGTAGACCTGCCTCGTATTTGCTCCGAATAACGCGGTTCAACCGTTCGTCGCGAGTGCCTGACTCCTGATCCGCAGCAGTCATTAAAAACTTTTCTGTCTTAGTGGCAGACGGTAGAAGAGGGGGTGTGGGCTCTTCAGCGAGTGCCTCAGGGGGATGTGCTGGAGAATTGGATGTCGCTTCAGCAGCAGAGGTAGAATTTGAGATGTAAGGAGTGGTCTGAGAGAATGCGGGAGCAGGCATGAGGGAGGGGGTCACTGTTGGGGATGTAGTGAAGAAAGATCCCTCGTCTAGGGTTTCTAAGAAGTCACTGGAGCAACTAAGTGGAGTGCATGGTGGAGTGACCATAAAACGACATACGTGAGGACTGAAAATTCGTTCCCTAAGGTTTCGGGCTGATACAGAAATGCGCCAGAGGGAACACTCATTGGCCATGCTGTGGTAGCTGGAGGAGGCGGCATTGTTGAACCATACATAGGCTCTGCGTAGATCGTTCTCAGCATGAGAATATAGAATAGTAATGATATACGCACGAGCCATCGACCTTGTAGGATCAACACCGTTTGACGAAGTACTTTGAACAGCATCAGAACCCTGCTTCCCACCAGTCTTCGGTGGTCGCTGCTCGTCATGGCAAAGATGGCCAATCTCACGCTTGATACTACAGACTCATCAGCACATGCAACCGTGTATGTATCAAGGGTGCTCACCAGCGCTGGCAGGGTCTGCCTTCATCGCAAGTCATATGACTACGTCGACAATAGAGGCACGCGTGGTTGACCTTTCTTCGTTTCGTGGTCTTTCTTTTCTTTGAAGCATCGTCGGCCTCTGGTGTATGGGAAGTCGATTCTGACTCATGGTGACCACTAGGATCCACTGCTGGGCCGGCATAGGGATGGGCGGTAACAGCATAGTTTGTCATGGTGTGGGGGACAGATAAATCCAAGGTATACCAACCAAGGAAAGATCGAATAAAAGTCAAGTAATAATATTCTAGTCGTTGGCTCGTAGGTGGAATTTCTGGGTTTCTGAGCTTGATCACACGATTTTGGAAGCGTACAACATTGCAACGTATCGCCTGCTCACAAGGACCTACAACATGCCGCGGCGGACCCCAAACACCTCTCTCGCTTAATACACGAGGAACTACCATGTCTGGGCACAGTACAAAGATTCATTGAGTGGTAGTCACGCTATGTAAAATACTAAACAACTGGCAAATAGATACATAAAGCAAGAGCAGCGAGTTAAATTCCCCTGAGATACCTCCACTAACTAATAGGTACAATCGATTACACGCCAGTCCTCCAACAATGCTCGGGCGAAAGCAACAGAGTTCTTCTATCTGTCGCCCGCGTCGACGTTATCTCCAAACCACTGCAGAGGTGCGTAAGCATCCCTGAACTTTACTTTTTATGGCAAACCAACCTTAACAAGGAATTTCGCAGACTCTTTGGGATATCGCTGTTGGGTCTCATAATCGACGTATGTTACGCCAAATCGTGTGATGTATCCATCCGCCCTGGGAGAGACATAAGTGAAAGGGAATGTCATCAATCTTTCTGACTCACCACTCAAAGTTATCCAGGAAGCCTAGGAAGGAAGGAAGAAGATTAGAAAATTTGATCGTGAATGATAAGAATAGTACATACTCCACGGGAAATAGGCTCTGACATCGACACCATCCTCAAGCACAGCAGCCTTGAGAGAAGCGGTGTTACCCTTGAAGTAGTTCACACGGTCGGTGTCCTGCAATGCCTCCTCAATCGACTTCGAACTCTCATCTTTGACAGCGAATCCATTCTGGGTGACGCTGAAGTCGAGGTCAGCACATCGCCCCAACTGCTACCTCGGAATAGCTCACTAGATGGGTAGCTTATATCTCTGTTAAATGCCCGTCAGTAACCGTAATGCATGCACACTATGAATTGGTGGGCAAACCTTCCAAATGTAATTAAGCAACTATTTTGACATGAAGGAACCGAAGGTTGTCAGCCATGTTTCTCTCATACTAACTATTATACTCACATCGCGAAATCCTTCGGGGTCTGGAGCATAATAGCCATGTCAGTAAAATATTCGTTATGTCTCATACTCATATTATCTCGTAACTTACAGTCCTGCAACCAGGCACAGTGCGCTGCAACATCGCCATGAATTTCTGATTCTAAATCTAGAAGGCAGCAGACGATTACCTTGGGTACCTAATTGAGTACCGTCAGGACGGATGAAAGTATACTCGGCGAATCCTTGGAATTCGTCATCGCCACCGCTTCCTGTAATGACAGTTCAGGCGCATGAGAGTCAAAGCGGATCAAATGAACGCACTGCAGAAGTAGGTGGTGTAGGTGTTCATGCCATAGAAATCAGAGGATCCTTTGACGACCTTCAATTCCTCCGGTGTAAACTCCGGCAGACGCTGCCGGAGCATCTGTTTCATGTATTCCGGGTAATGACCGAGATAGACTGGATCCTGGAAAATAGTATTTGTTTTATTTAACGACTCGACAGAGCATACGACTTAAAGCTTACAGCGAACCATCCTATCGACCGTCCGTCAGCGCAGACCGGATGCTACAGGCACGGGCCGAACTTACCAATAACTACATCAATGGCGTGCTGTGCCGCTTCCACATCTGAAAACACGGACGCGTGTTATCAATATCCGTTCATCATATCATCAAACCAGGAATTGCACTTACTCTGTGGACTGTCATCGTATGGCATGGTCCAGTCACCATTGAGTGTGATTCCAATCTGGCCACCCTGCACGGCCTTGAACTCCTTGCGATAAAGTCTGACTGCGTATGCGTGCGATAAAATGACGTTGTGGCCAACTCTGTAGGGTGGAGTGGAATTAGCAAGCTAATTGTGTGCAGACAGATACAAGTGATAGACATACATCCACGGTTCGGTGGAGGAGTCGCCTTCGGGTGATCTTTCTCGGTCGCTTGATCGTCCTGGCGCGAAGATGCCCTTTCCATACCCCAGAATTGAGACGCACCATGGCTCGTTCACTGTGAGCCTAAAGACGTGTGGTTGATGGAATGACTGAATACCCCATCACTATGGAGTACGCACCAGTGCTTGACTCTGTCTCCTAAAGCCTGGAAGCAGACCTAATGACCATACTTTTGTTCATTTCAAACATACGCGTAAAAATTACGCAACAACACTCACCTTAGCATAGTGGACATAGTCCTGAACGATCTCATTCTTGTTCAACCACCCGCCATATCTGTCATGCAGGGCCTGGGGAAGGTCCCAGTGGTATAAAGTCTGGGAAAGCAATAGTGAGAACTCGCCAAAGTAGCCGCGCATGCTTTACATACAACAAATGGGATTATGCCGTGTTCCAGCAGTGCGTCAATGAGATTGGAGTAGAAGGCTATACCCTTGGATTGACGGGGTCGTTGCGGCCACCAAGCGGGATGATGCGAGACCAGGATAAGGAAAAGCGATAAGACTTGACGCCATAGTGGGCAAGTAGAGCAATGTCCTCCTTCCAGAGCCTGTATGAATCAGCTGCCACATCTCCGTCTCGGCCGTCCATTGTCTTTTTAGGTTGTTTGGAGAAGTCGTCCCAGATAGACTTTCCGCGTCCATCAACATTGGTGGATCCTTCGATCTGGAAACTCGCTGTAAAACATGGGTCAACGGAACAACGTTAAAAACAAAGAAACCTACCAGTAGTGAATCCCCATATGAAGTCCTTTGGTAACTTATTTGCAACTTCTGCAGAGGTCATTAAATCAGGAGCCAACTTGTAGGGGGTGGTGAGGCACACCATCACGGAATTGTAAAGCCTCTTAAACTACTAGAGCACATTGCTACCATGGATCTATCATGGAGGTTCCTGTGAGAATTCTAGCAAAGCAACCGACAATTATCCGGGTGAGTGTATTGGGAATTTGAAAAGTAAACAACACAATCTGGTTCGCTCCTTGTTCAAGTTGCTCGCCAGGCTTCATTAACATTGCTGCTGGCCGTGCTATCGCTGCCGGCAAGATAGGGAAAGTCACCTTCTTCAGCTCTCGTACCGTCAACTTCATGCACAAGGATTCAATATGGTATAAGACCCTGTGGCGAACTGTTCCGGACGTGATCAAATGTCAATTTCCTCATTCTGATGTATGGTCTGACAAGTTCTGGCCCGTGCCTGTGCTTCTATCGGATTAGTATCAAGGAGGCTTCCTGGTAGTAAGATTCGTGTTGTGCTCACCTCAACCAGCTGACACGTGGCTAAGCATAGCTTGATGGCGGTGAGCTCAGTTCCAAATACTTGCAGAAACCCGCAACTGAATTGCTTTTAGCACTCTGCCGCAGCCCTTCGTGTCATACCCCCAAGTGCAATGACACACCTCTCCGGGTTTGCATCGCTCAACAAGGAGTGGTTTGCGCCTCATGATACCATCAACACCATCATAAAGAACGCGGAAGGTTCGCATGGCATTTACGAGCTCAGTTTCGCTGCGCCCAGCCCATCTCGTTCCGATGCAGGTGGAGGTCTTGTCGTCACCGGTGCAGATGGCTGGCCATACTAGTACTAGTGTCCTGTAAATCTGGTCTGAGGCCAGATTAACACCGCTAATTTGCAGAGGCCATTCAGGAGGTCAAGTTAACGTGTAAATTTGCGTAAATTTGCAAGCCAGCTAATTAGCACTAATTTACTTGTAAATTTGACGATTTTAACGGTTAATTAGGCTAAATATGGTCACATCCCAGGCTTTTGCATCCGGAAGTGCCTCTAACGACGACGACGAAACAGGGGACATCCTGATGTTGTCGACACCTTGACGTGTGGATTCATGTTTCGGGGTATTTCATCCAAGAAATCTCGCAGATAGGGAGAACACAACTCGATAAGCCACTCGACACCATCATCAGGAAATTCGGAATCACAAGCATCATTGTGTGGGTTGGTCTCGGGCCTTTTCATGCTCCTTTCGCACCCCTGCGTGCTCTTTTCATGGTGTCATTGGCATTCAAAATGCTACACCTTTTAGATGAATTCAACGAGATTATATTAGATGCATCGCCAGGTGATTATGGTGAGCATGGAACCACACGGACAATGACGAAACATACTGACAGCCGGAAGGGCCTGACATTACAGAAAGCAGTACTCGAGTTGCGCACCGATTCATTTGCAGACAGACAGATGTATACTGCACTGTCAAGAGTGCGAGGTCGTAGAGACATTCAAGCGCTTTTTCGAGAAGAGGAAGAGACAACGGCCAACGTAGTATACAGACGTCTATTATTACTAGGCGCCGTGACCCGCCGGCGATGACCTTGCTTTGTTTGGTGTTGTTAACTCATAATTCAATCACAAACGTGCAGTCCAATCAATCATCCAAGTTCGTCGCAGCTGCCCATGGCCAGGCCCCAAATCAAACTTCTTTCTGGCAGCGGTCAGGACAAGGAAGCGGAAAATGCCGTTATTTGTAACTGTCGACGATCCGCAGAACTATCGGCATATGACAAGGTGATGAATCAATGTGACAACCGCCCGAAGGGGAGTGGAGCGCTTGTACGGTTATATGCAACGAATTGACCTAGTACTTGCCATCGTCCGACATGCACCGCTGTCTTCGCCTGACTGAGATCCTCGAAATAATATTTTGTCTTGTGTTGGATGTTCAATTTATTGACCCAAGCTTCAATGACTATCAACTGCTACAGCCTGCAATCTTACCGTTTCCTAACACTGAAGGCCGACGCTCCGTCCTCAACCTCGCACTTACCTGTCGTGCATTTCGCGACCCAGCACTCAACGTCCTTCACTCCTATAGAGAAGAAATCTGGCCTCTCAGAAAGTCCGTGCCTGGTCAACTGCCCAAACCTTCCTGGCTTCATATACCCGAACAGTTCCGCCCATCAATCCTCCGTGCTACATGCGTCCAGATCTTCTTCAATCAAAATTTACATCGCCATGACTCTGCATACGCACTGCTCCTTGCAAGCGCATCCAAAGATGCCCCGCTCTTTCCCCAGCTGCGTTCGCTCGGATGGTTCGACCCACGTGTTGAAACCATCCCCGCCCTCAACCTCCTCTTGCCCACCGTCCATACCCTCGCTCTAAATATCACGGATGATCAATTTCGCAAGGCCGTCTTCCAAAACCTCCGTACCAACTCCTTGCACCTCAAAGCTCTTGAATTTATAGCCATGTTTCAGACAGGGCTGGTAATCTCAGAATTGAAATCCTTCCTGTCCAGCTATTCTGAGAGTCTCACCGAACTTTCAATCAGATTCTTCCGTAAAGACATCCCAAACGTTTTGCTCGAAGCTATCGCTGTGTGGCCACGTCTCCAATACCTCACTCTCCACATAGGATTCAACAGCATACCTCTCCATGCACCCCAACCTTTTCAGGCACTCACTCACCTCCATATGTCATGCGACAATCTGAACCTTTTCTCATCTTTGCTGCATTCTATTTTCGGGACGGATTCTAGTACCTCCGGATGCCCAAACCTCAAGAAAATTTACAATATCGCACGCCGGTGCGGTCCCACCAGTAACTGGTCCGAACTCCTCACTACCCTCACACGCACAAAGCTAGAGCACATCTTGATCCTCGAGAAATGTAACTATGAGCTCAAGCCGTGTTACAGGGGACCAACACTTTTTGAGCTTCGTCCCTTCCTCGCCCGCCTTACTACTCTCGTAAATATCAAAACCCTCCTCATCTTCCCCGCCCACGACGGGTCCATTGTACTTACAGATACCGATGTCCGCACGCTTGCTCGTGCATGCCCACACCTCTATTCCGTTAGCCTAGGGAATCACAACACACCTGTGTCTTTGGATGCCCTGGGTTACATAGTGAGACGCTGTTGTGAGCTGTGCGAAATCTCGCTACGTGTGGACGCGCGGCTTGATGCACTCAGCACAATACCTCTGGACGATGACGAGCAAATGTACCTACAACCTAATAGACGCCTGATGAGGCTGGCCATCGGAGGGTCACCCATTGCATGTGTGGGTCCGTTGGACCCGCCGACTGCACCAGACCTGATGATGTCCATCCCACGGTTCCTGCACATGATAGCACCGCGACTTGCGAAACTCGAAATATCCTTAGAGAGGCATTTCGAGTGGACACGTCGCAGGTACAAGGACATGGAGAAAAGGGATGATATGAAGAGGTGGAGGAAGGTGGAGGAGGTCTTGTTGGAGTTGACACAAGGGGACACTGACTGATGGTTTTGATTTCCTTGTATTCTATAACATCCTGACCAAACACCTCTCACTTAATACACGAGGAACTACCATGTCTGGGCACAGTACAAAGAATCGGTCACGCTACGTAAAATACTAAACAACTGGCAAATGGATACACAAAACAAGAGCAGCGAGTCAGATTCCCCTGAGATACCTCACTAACTTATAGGTACAATCGATCACACACCAGTCCTCCAACAATGCTCGGGCGAAAGCAACAGAGTCCTATGATTTCCTGTCGTCCGCATCGACGTTATCTCCAAACCACTGCAGAGGTGCGTAAGCATCCCTGAGCTTTACTCTTTGTGGCAAACTAACCTTAACAAGGAATTTCGCAGACTCCTTGGGATATCGCTTTTGGGTCTCATAATCGACGTATGTTACGCCAAATCGTGTGATGTATCCATCCGCCCTGGGAGAGACATAAGTGAAAGGGAATGTCATCAATCTTTCTGACCCACCACTCAAAGTTATCCAGAAAGCCTAGGAAAGAAGGAATAAGATTAGAAAATTTGATCGCGAATGATAAGAATAGTACATACTCCACGGGAAATAGGCTCTGACATCGACACCATCCTCAAGCACAGCAGCCTTGAGAGAAGCGGTATTACCCTTGAAATAGTTCACGCGGTCGTTGTCCTGCAATGCCTCCTCAATCGACTTTGAACTCTCATCTTTGACAGCGAATCCATTTTCAGTGACGCTGGAGTCAAGGTCAGCACATCGCCCCAGCTGCTGCCTCAGAATAGCTCACTAGATGGGTAGTTTATATCTCTGTTAAACGCCCGTCAGTAACTGTAATGCATGCACACTATGAACGAGTGGGCAAACCTTCCAAATGTAGTTAAGCAACTATTTTGAACCGAAGGTGTCAGCCATGTTTCTCTCATACTAACTATTATACTCACATCGCGAAATCCTTCGGGGTCTGGAGCGCAATAGCCATGTCAGTAAAATATTTACTATGTCTCATATTCATATTATTTCGTAACTTACAGTCCTGTAACCAGGCACAGTGCGCTGCAACGTCGCCATGAATTTCTGGCTCTAAATCAAGAAGGCAAGAGATGCCTACCTTGGGTACCTAATTGAGTGCCGTCAGGACGGATGAAAGTATACTCGACGAATCCTTGGAATTCGTCATCGCCACCGGCTCCTGTAATGACAGTTCAGGCGCATGAGAGTCAAAGCGGATGAAATGAACGTACTGCACAAGTGGGTGGTGTAGGTGTTCATGCCATAGAAATCAGAGGATCCTTTGACGACCTTCAATTCCTCCGGTGTAAACTCCGGCAGACGCTGCCGGAGCATCTGTTTCATGTATTCCGGGTAATGACCGAGATAGATTGGATCCTATAGTAGTTTCATTTATTTAACGACTCGACAGAGCATACGACTTGAAGCTTACAGCGAACCATCCTATCAACTGTCCGTTAGCGCGACCGGATGCTACAGGCATGGGCCAAACTTACCGATAACTACGTCAAGGGCGTGCTGTGCCGCTTCCACATCTGAAAACACGGACGTGTGTTATCAATATCCGTTGATCATATCAGCAAACCAGGAATTGCACTTACTCTGTGGACTGTCATCGTATGGCATGGCCCAGTCACCATTGAGCGTGATTCCGATCTGGCCACCCTGCGCAGGCTTGAACTCCTCGCGATAAAGTCTGACTGCGTATGCGTGCGATAAAATGACGCTGTGGCCAACTCTGTGGGGTAGTGTGGAATTAGCAAGCTAATTGCGTATACAAGTGGTAGGCGTACATCCACGGTTCAGTGGAGGAGTCGCCTTCGGGTGATCTTTCTCGGTCGCTTGATCGTCCTGGCGCGAAGACGCCCCTTCCATACCCCAGAATTGAGACGCACCAGGGCTCGTTCACTGTCAGCCTAAAGACGTGTGGTTGATGAAATGACTGAATACCCCGTCACTATGGAGTACGCACCAGTGCTTGACTCTGTCTCCGAAAGCCTGGAAGCAGACCTAATGACCATACTTTTGTTCATTTCAAACATACGCGTAAAAATTATATGACAACTCGCCTTGGCATAGTGGACATAGTCCTGAACGATCTCATTCTTGTTCAACCACCCGCCATATCTGTCATGCAGGGCCTGGGGAAGGTCCCAGTGGTATAAAGTCTGGGAAAGCATAATGAGAACTCGCCAAAGTAGCTGCGCATGCTTTACATACAACAAATGGGATTATGCCATGTTCCAGCAGTGCGTCGATGAGATTGGAGTAGAAGGCTATACCCTTGGGATTGACGGGGTCGTTGCGGCCACCAAGCGGGATGATGCGAGACCAGGATAAGGAAAAGCGATAAGACTTGACGCCATAGCGGGCAAGTAGAGCAATGTCCTCCTTCCAGAGCCTGTATGAATCTGTTGCCACA